CCGGCAGAGGGCGCCACGAGCCCAGGCTGGGGGCGGGGCCGGGACACCCCTCCCCGTGCAACGCGCCCACGTGCCCGCCCCCCATCCAGGGACACCCCTCCCCGTGCAACGCGCCCACGTGCCCGCCCCCATCCAGGGAGGCCTCTCCCAGTGATCCCCCCATCCAGGGACACCCCTCCCCGTGCAACGCGCCCACGTGCCCGCCCCCCATCCAGGGACACCCCTCCCCGTGCAACGCGCCCACGTGCCCGCCCCCATCCAGGGAGGCCTCTCCCAGTGATGTTACTGGCATCACCTTCTGCGTCAATTGGGCTCTAAGACCCCTCACCTGTAGGCAGGCCCAGGGCCATCTGGGGCACAGATATTGCTGGGGTGTCGGAGGGTTTTGCTCATGAGGCTTCTGGCTGGCCAGGCAGGCAGCTGAAGCGCTCTGGGGGACTGGTTTGTGGCCTGTTTGGGAAGGTCTCCAGTCTGGGGATTGTAAGGAGCCCCACATTTGAGCAATTCGTCCTGAGCGGACGCCCTCGGCTGTGCCCAGACCCGGCCCAGTCTGTCACGGGGGCCCAGGGTACAGCAGGTGTACCTGTTAGTAGAGGCCTGTAAATCCTCCACAGATCTCCACAGCTCATTTTTGCAGATGTAGATACAAATTTTGTATCTAGAACCCCTGCAAATGTGAGGCAATCTGATTTAGATCCGCAGGTGTCTGCATCCACAGCTGTGCGTGCAGATACTCGTGCATCCACAAAGGGCTTTACGTATTAGACACAGGCCTGTGCGCTCTATGGCACCCCATTCTCAGTGGTGTGCCCACCCTGTGTGCACCACAGGAGCTAAGCCTCACTCAGGCAGGGAGTTTGGTGAGCACGGGGCAGATGCTGGCCACTCTCGTTTTGTAAGAAACCAGAATCCAATGCACCATGCCAGGCCCATTGGCATGTGGCCACATGACCAAGCATCACTGGCCAAAATGACCTGCGGGTGTTTCTCAGGGTAGTTAGGTCCTTTCCATGTGTAGCCCGTGCACCCCAGTCCACTGCCTGCACAGCTAACCTACTCCATTCAGAGGGACGGCAGTGTGACCAACTAGGCCTGCCGCCTTCACTCCCTTCCGTGGGCACAGTGCAAGCCCTGAGCTACAGGTTCCGCCACCATCTTCCTTCTTCGTGCCTCAGTTTCTTCCTGTAGCCTGCGAAAGGGCCGATGGCCGGGCACGGACGCATTGAGGGAAAGGGGGAAATTGTTAGTTCTATGGCGCAACCGAGGGCGCCTAAAAACTGCCCTTAATCCTGAGCTGCAGCCCAGGACACGGCCCTGGCAGGGGAGAAGCTGTTTGGGACGAGAGAACATGGGTGCTCTGGCCAGCGGTTGGGATTACGGTTGTGCTGGCTGTTTGCCGTGCACCATCTGAACACTTGGGCTTCACTAACCTGCGGCTCACAAGTCACCGGGCTCTTGGTGCTAATCGGAGCCGTGCGTCAGCCTCCAGAGGGGCAGCAATTGACTTACCAAGCTGGCGTGAAGGCGGCAGGTTTTCCAGCCAGGCAGGGGGAGAGCACTGGAGGCAGGAGTAACATGGCTGGTGGTACCAGTTCGCCACGAGTCTGCCATGACTGCAGCCTCTTCCTAGCACCCCCCTCCAACCTAAGCTTGCTGGGCTCCTCCCAGAGGTGCAGGAGCTCGGGCAGTTGCTGGAGGAATGAGGGTGACCTGCTCCGGGAAGGCTTGTTCTGTAATAGGCAGGGTTGCTTTGCCTTCACCAACACATGCCAAACATTATGCTCAGCAGCATGTGCTGCAAACAGCCCAAGCTGGGGGACCCCTGCAGAGGCCAGCATGCACCTGGCATGCACCTCACCACAGTGGCCAGCCTCTCCGAAGCCCCTGCCAGTTGCAGCAGGATGCAAGGAGGAGAAAGGGGCAGCGGCTGGCTCCGTGCAAGGTGAGTCTCCGGGGACCCATGGGCCTGCCTGGAGCAGTAAGTCACCGCAGCCCAGGGGAGTTATGTGCTGCTGCTGCATGGTGCCCGCTGGGCCACAGTCCAACCAAAGGAGCTTTTGCTTTAATGGACTCAGGAATTAGGAGCTATAGATATCACAGTGTCACCTTCCAAACCCCGCTGCCTGCTAATCACTGGCAATGGACACAGGAGCTAACGGGCTTTCAGTTCCATGACGCAAGCCCCTGAAATCCTGGCTCACCTTGCTGCCTAAAGGTGAGGTGGGGAGACGGGCACAAGGCACCCTACACAGAAACGGGGGGGGGACTAGGGCTGCAACACAGGAAAGCCAGGCAGAGCCCCCCTGTGTCACTCGCTGGTTCCTGGCTGGGGGGGGCATTTCCTCCCCCAGCTGCCCGGGCCTCCAGCGGCCAGCCCTGCACAGAGTGGGGGAGGCAGGGCAGACGGGGGAGAGGAATGGCCAGTGGCGCTGCAGTGACCAGAGGCCCCCAGCAGGGGGTGCTGGGCAGGATGGGAATTAGCAGCTGCCATGATGAGCTCTGTTATGGGGAGGGGGACAGGAAACCTGGGGGCCTGTCATCCACCTCCCCCAGGCCCAGTCAGGACTCCTGTGAGTCACTGGGGGGGCTGCCCCACAACACCCCCCCCCCGTGTGTGATGTGGGGTCTTTCCAGCCCATTAGCAGCACAGCGGGGGCTGGACCTTTGGCAAAGCCAGTTTCTGCCCCTCAGTTTGGGGGAACGAAGTTAAATTGACACTCCAATTATAAGCCAGTGCCCCCCCCCCCGGCC